AGGTTGTAATATATTCGGGCTTATGATTTTCATTAGCTAAAAATTCTAATGCACTACTGACATGGGTGGAGAAAACATTCTTTGCTTTGTTTACTCGCATTTTATTATAAGTATTAGTAGGTTTCATCAGAAAATTTCCATGTTAAATATCAATTATAAGTAATTTTATTTTGTTATATAGTATTATATGTAAATGACATACAAACAAAAATCTTAAAACAACAAATATTATAATGCAAATCAGATATTAAACTTTGAAAGTTGAAACACTTGAACTTAAAACGCATCTTTAATTTTACTTAATAATACTTATAAGTATTTCACAGCATTTTACATCACATATTTTTCTTTGGTAAATAATAATAATTTTATTAAAAGATTAGCTGCTTTGTACTCTTATTCCAAAGTAGCGGAATTACTAACAATACTAACTGACGAATCACTAGAAAAAATATCATCATCATTACATGCATAATTGTCAGGAAACTCAAAGGACTCTGTCATTATTCTGTTCGTCTTCCTCTTCGGATTCCAAAAGAGGTGTTGCACCGAGACCGAGTTCGAAGATTACTTTTCTTCTCTTTTCAGAGCTCTCCTCACGAGATAAATGAAATAAATTTTCTCTTCTCAATACTCGAAGATTAGCTTTAACAGCCACCAACTTTTCGGTTCTTTGATTGAGGAGTTTGTTTCTTTTCTTTGGATATATGTACTCATAATCTGACCAAATACGTTCACAACTTGCAGATGATGGGAGAAGTGACAAAAGGCGCATTGCAATAGGATAAACCGGCTGCTGTTGACAAAATCCATCCCACCATTTAATTGGATCACTGCTTCTTACTGTTTTCCATAAAATATCATTTTGATAAAAACCTTTCTTGGTTCTAAAGTCTAGTAAGTTCTGAATTACTTTATCTATATTAAGTTTGAAAGTAGTAGCAATGTTTTGAATCACTTGTGTTGCAGTAAGAATTTCCATGTCACTTAATCCTTTTCCACAGAAGTTAGGATCTAAAAGATAAGTTGCTTTGTGTATATCTTTCATACCGTACTCCATACGATATTTGAGAGCCTTCTTAATTCTTGAGACATCATCAAGAGAAAAAGGCGATTCTTTGATATTATTTTCGTTGATCTTACTTCTAATATTCATAAATATGGCAACTGTATGGGATAGCTTTGCATCATCAGCTTCCACGAGCAAGATTCCATTCGCTATGGGCTCAAGGAACTTAATGACATAAGTCAAATCTGACCAAAATCCTATGTCATCTAAGATATAGGTACGAATATTACTTGGAATATCCAAATCTTCTGAGAGAACAGTCTCTTGTAATGCTCTTTTATTTGCTTGGATGGACTTAAATGTTAAATATGCACCATTAAATCTTGTAGAAGATGGTACAATCAGACTAACTGCATTACTGCCATATTTTTCCTTCTGCTTCTCTCTAAACACAGCCATAATTAATTTTTTTTTTTTAATCGTTAAAATGGTTTTAACCTTCTGCAAAAGAGTCTTTAATAGGTTTGTCATCATAAAATCCTTAAACAAAAGATTTAGACAATGTGCCCCACAACCAATGGCATAAATATGTGTATATTTGGCTTGTACTAATTTCCAAGCAGCACGCATAGCACTAGCATTGTCAGTGACTATAAGCATAACATGGGTTGATCCTAATTTTTCAATCACAGAAATCAATTGATTTGATATATAAGCAGAGTTCTCTCTTTGAGTACCAGGTTCAATACTTTTGAAGAAAATAGGTTCGGGTGTACCAAGAACAAAATTAATTAATGCTTCAGATCTACGATTTGTTCAACCATCACTCATTATAGTCAAAACCAAAGCCTTAGATATTTTGAGCGAAGCAGATTTCATAACGTTGTCATACTCATTATCAAGTAACTTTCCACCTAACTGATAATGAGAAGGTGGCTTATATGATGAACGTAGCTTCTTAAATGCTACAGTCATATCTGATCCCTCAAATAAAGAAAGAGAATATCCCGATGCATACACAGCTCTTGCAAATAATTCATCTAAATTGTCTTTTTCAGTTTTCGACATAGAATCCAAAAAAGATGACAGACACGTTTTTCTTGCCTTCTTAGTAGGTGGGACATCTAACTGATCCTGTTTATTATGAGCCAAAATTTGCTGATTAGAGAAATTAATATTAATGGATGAATTTGCACTGTTGTTCTGATTGTTCAATCAGCTCATCTGCTCATCTTCAATAATTTCAATACTATCACATTCATCCACGTTTATTGTTTCTTTACGAAAGTTGGTGTTCTCTAAAGATAAAAAATATGGAATAAAATTTAATGTCAAATACAAAATACACATAATATAGTATCAGTGCAAAAGTTCGTGCCCGATTTATTATTCAAAGTTCAAACAGCTGAAATTTTGTTTAAAATAAACGAAATTTAAATTTAAAAACGAGTTTTAAAGCTTGAAATCTCTACTTTCGAATCGTTATTACATTTTTTGAATTTATATCAGTTTTGTAACTTTTATATATAGAAAACTATGAGCTGAAAAAAATGAAAAATTTTCTTTTCACTTTGTAGCTCTGCAGCGTGCCCGAAAAAAAATTAGAGCAAATTTTCGACTATTTATGGTAAAAGCTTAAAGTTTTCCTTATAAAATCATTTTCAAAAAATGTTCTTACGATTTTTTGTTTTTGAGTTGTTGCAAATTAAATAAAATGAATATTTTGACTTTGATTGATCATAACTCCATCAAAACCATCACAATCAAAAGAAATAAATTCTTAAATTCTCTCATCAGCTAAAGTAAGATTTAGATTTTATTTTCAACAAAAATAGCAGCTGCTTGAAGTTTGAATAATAAATCGAGATAAATTAGGCACGAACTTTTGCACTGATTTAATACATTCTTAAAAAAAAAAGTATAATATACTTATTCAATAGCACAAAATCAATGATCTCAAAAGTCTTAAAGAAAATTAGGTATATTACTTGGTAATCTCAACTTCAACTCAAATGTGAAAGAAACTGCAAAATTATTTATGGAATTAAATTCCAATAAATAGAAACTTCTAATGTTTTACCTGTTTCATTGTAACTTTCCTTGAGATAATCCTTGATAGATTCAGAACATTCAGTGCAATTCCTAATCAGGTGTTTACGCATCTTCGTAGCGTTAGGAAATGTATATACTTGTCCGCAAAACTTGCAAGTTACATTCATAATCTTCCCTGATGCATTCTTAGCACATACAAAATAAATCCATACCTTACCCTTTGAAGGTGGCATCTTGATATTGATTCCTTGAATGGAATGTTAAAAAATACAAAATATAAAAGCTTACAATAAAAGGAAGGCACAAATAATAACAGTAATAATAATATATGCTATACTTTTACATAGGTTAGTTAGGTTAAGTTAGAGAAGTTGCTTTATTAAATAAAATTATAAAAAACTTTCTCTTAATATAATACTCGTATATACATACATCAAGTTTATATGGAACACATGCAGCAACATACAATGAATAAATGAGGAATTAATAAAAATAAAATTTTAACGTCAGTATGTTACAGCCATGGAGGACTGGAGAGAGCATTGCGGTGGTGGGGGTACGAATTTTGTAATCGGAAGTGCATCATGGGAGACAACCTTTAACGCGCTTTTTACCGTAAGGAGCGCTGTAGTCGATATACACTAAATCCTTTTTAATTACCATCTTGATTTATCTTAAGCCGTCACATCTCCATGCCGTAATATGCTCACATGATGCTCACAAAGCAAAATTAGTTGGCTATTGAAATCATGGTTAGTTGTGCGGCGTGCTCCATAACAAAATCCAAAAATTGTGGATTTACTTTCCATTCGTAAGTAATAGCGATTACACTAATAAGCGCTAATAAATGATAAATTGTACTTTTCATGACTTTCATGAAGACAATAAAAAGGATAATGTAAAGGGCAAATCCAAAAGTCACCGAAAAATGAAAATTACGAAATTAATATATACAAAAAAATTAGATATATAATTAAACAAATATAAAATGCATACATGCATACATACATGATTACATGTAAATACAAACATTATATTTTTACATGATTTGTACAAAAAGGAATAATATATATATTGAAATTTTAAAGACTTTTCTAAAGTATTCTGTTTTTAATAACATTAGTTTATATATATATATATATGCATTAATTTGAATTTTTTTCATAATTCTGAGTATGTTTTATGTATGCTCTAAAAGAAAATTATTATGATACAATGATCGATTGAAATTTGATTTGAATTTGCCTCCTTCAGTTTTATTTCCGGCAACGGCCATCTTGGACAACCTATTTTGATTACACCCCCACCACCACAATGCTCTCTCCAGTCCTCCATGGTTACAGCAGATACATAGATAGTTAAAAAAACTGACACGCGTTGATTCTGAATGTCGCCGTTGTCGCCAATGTCGCCAGTCGCCATATATAAAGAAAATATGGCCGGGAGGGTTCTTTCCCATAAAGCGTGGGAAGAAACGTTTTTCGTTCCCGTTCTTTCCCAGGTTTTTTTCCGGGTTTTTTCCCGGTTCTTTCCCTCTTTCGCAACACTAATCTTCATTACCTATTTTTATTTTCGTAAAAAGATCTATTATTTCACGAAGAAAAGAAATGCTAGCATTGTATATTTCTTTATTTTTTGTACCCAATGCCGTACAACATGTTCTAGAAGTCATTAATGAGAACCACTTAGATAGTTGTTTAACAAACCGTGAGGTTGTAATATATTCGGGCTTATGATTTTCATTAGCTAAAAATTCTAATGCACTACTGACATGGGTGGAGAAAACATTCTTTGCTTTGTTTACTCGCATTTTATTATAAGTATTAGTAGGTTTCACATCATCAAAATTTAATCTAGTTAAAAAAAATTCGAGATCTTTCTGAGAATCTATTAATTCAATAAAATGTTTAATTTCAACTCTATTACATGGTAGTTCATACTTACTAACAAATTCTTCTGGTAAGATGAAAAATTTGTTGTTAAGTAATGATTCTTTTAAATTTTTCAAAAGATGTGATACATCTGCGATGAAATATAACAATCTATTAGGATCAGAAGGATGAGGAATATGATTTCTAACGTCCGAATACCGTCCCACACTTATCCTACAGCATTTTCATAGTTTGCTATTTCCAGGACTCATGTCAGAAGTTATATAGTTGACACGAAGACCAATTAGTTCAGCTTTATCAATTATCTGTAAAATGATATCTTTTAAAACTGTTCCATCAAATGAGTCTCCTGTATAAAAATATCCTACAATGTGTTTCCATCGATTAGCTGTACCTGTTAACATTAATGTTAAAGCATGCGTTGCAATACCTTCTTTATTTGGAAATGTTATATTTCCTAGTAATGTTTTTGTTGAAGAATCATAAACACGCTTTGGTGTTATACTTATTTCATCAATAACAATTCCACATTCTCTATCAGTATCATTTTGAAAAGAAGATACTTTAAATTGTAAAAAGTCAAACATTTCCTTTGAAATACCACTCTTAAATTTTAAATCTTCCAATCTTCGTTGTAAAGTGCGCAAACTTGGAAGCGGCATTTTTTGTTGCAGAAGCTCTTCGTAACCATTATTACCACAAGTAAACCTTAATCTAAGTGCACGTTTAATAGTTTCATTAAGCCAATTTCTTGTTCTTCGTTTTTTTGTTAACAAAGCTTTAATTTGATCCTCGTTGAATATTTCCTTTAAACCTTTTTTATATTTATCGTTATTAATTGTA